ACCCGTCAAAGCAAAAAGTACCATCCGAGTGTTTGCAACTGGTGTTGAGCCGAATGATAATGAATCTCCTTTCTGCCGGCAGTGAGCTGGTAAGCATCCGCTATAGGGATGCAAGGTCATCAAGAAAAAGAACTTTGCTCAAAGGGCGAAACTTTCCGCTGGGACAAAGCTTTCTTTCTCTTATCTTCAAGTGGACCACTTTTCCCGTAATTGCCCGAAGGCTCGACAATAAGCTAAACCTGAGTGCGAAAGTACGCACAATGTACCCTTGCATTGTGCAAAACGCATTTTTGATTCTCGAAAGGAAGAAAACAAGTCTTCTACCGGTAATCTCCGGCGGAAAAAACAACGTCGTCTTGTTCCACATCAGTGCAGGACGTTAAACTTGGCTCGCTCTCTGAACTTGTCAGGAAAAAAATTGGATTTGACCCTAAATAATTTTAATTCAACAGATATTATTTTCAATGATTTAGTTGAGGTGACTTCATCCGCTGACATAATTAATATTGATTATACCTTCAATGTTACCGCTTACTTAAAGGTTGAAATTAAAATTGGGTCTCGAAAGGTTAATTTTCCAGTCCATGAAGAAAAATATCTATACCTAGGACCAATGAAGCCAGTTCGGTATAGTTATTCGGACACTGAAATGGTAATTGGTCAGTGGTTTTATCACCACATACGCCCGCTCGATTATAATCATGATGGAGATGGGAAAATACAATGGCAGCTTGTCTGCAGGTAGGATGGGTTTTGAGTGGCCCACTACCTTCAATTTCTGAGTTGTTATAAAGTGCAATGCCGAAGACTTGGAACTTAGCCAAATTAAAACGTGGTATGAGTTAGAAAGTTAGAAAGTTATGGTACATACAAGCAAAATGATGCTCGTTCCGCAGCCAATCAGCGAGCGCTTAGTCTTTTTTAGTCAACAACACACCATGATGGTGACCAATAGTGGGTAGAAGTGAATTGGGCCGATGATAGTAGTTCTTTACCCGCAATTACCTCTCAGCGCTGGCACAGCTCAAGATGCTTGAAAAACGGCTCGACAAAGATAGTGGTTTAAAGAGTAAACACACTGAGACAAAAAAGGAGGATCTCGATTAAGGTTATGTCATTCCGGTTAAACCGCACGATCCGCAGCTGCTCTCCACCCGTGAATAGTATTTACTCCATGACCAGTCCTCAACCCAAACCAGCCAAGTAGGTTCGCCGGTTTTGAATAGCGCGTCAAAATTTCACGACCTATCTCTAAGCAAATATTTGCTCGTTTGGCTTGATTTGATGCAAAACTTTTTGCACGTGTTAATGCGCTTCCGCGAACATCAGTTTGGCGTCTCTCCGGTCATCGAGGGTACAATTCCTAAGGTTGGGGTACCCACTTGTGATCAACCTTGCTTACGTTTTTTTTTGGCGCGGGGACGCCATATCGGATGTGAAAGTGCCGCAGTTTAGCCGGCACATTTGTGGTGCTCGGGACTACCCGATGTGCGCAAACTTCGCCCTTGGGCAAACTATCAAGAAAAACGCTGAAAATTATCGTGAAGTATCTAGACAATACTTAGTAGCTTCTACTTGAATGATTACTTGAATTCATTTGAAAACCGCGATGATGCCATGAGAATGATCAAAGATCTGATGAACCTCCTTAAACTGGAAGGATTGCATGGAATTGACTCTCTCGTTGTTAGTCGTGGAGTTAACTGCGAGCTCCGAACATCCGTTACGAAACAATCTGGTCTCAGTTTTGTTTCATCGGTCTCCGACCCTTATGGTTTGGTGGCCTCCTACACGGTAAGGCCCGCCTGCTTCTGGAACACATTTGGCGCATAACTGGGCAACAATGGGATGATTCCTTAGCAGAAGCGCTCTGAACGTAATTCATTGAGTGCTAATTTTAAGCTTTTTTGTCTTCGGAGAATTAGTCACTCACCGGTGCTACTTCAGTAATCCGTTTAATCAATGCGACCTCCATATGTTTGGGGATAGCTCGCAGGATGCGTTTTGCGCGGTTGGTTTCCTTTGTGTCCAGACTATTTAGACTCAAAAAATTGAGCTTATGTTAGTTTTCAGTAAAGTAAGGGTAGCGCCAATGAAGGCTTTGTCCGTTCCAAAGCTGGAGTTGCAGGCATCCTTGCTGGCATCTAGGTTGAAGCAAGATATACTCCGGGAACTTTGAATCAATATAACCCGTACTTTTTTGTGGACCCATAGCACCATGGTATTACAATGGTTTCACTCCGTCGATTAATTACCAACTTTCGTCGCAAAACGTGTTTGTGAAAAAAAAGAATTCACCTCTGTGGATGAACGGTTACTTGTAAAAAGTAGAGACAGTCCCGCACACACTGGGACACGCGGAATATCGGCAAAATGACTTAAAGAAAGCAGTTGAATCAGGCTTCCTGTTAGGCAATGAGTAGCTTTTCAAACCCAATCTGGATGTTGTTATCAATGACCTCTCAAAAAAGTCTATAGGCAATTCAGCACATGCCCTCACGAGTATTTCAGAGTCCATGCAGTCAGAGCCCATGTTTGTTTGGGAGATGTATAGTAGTTGTACATTTGCTAATTGTTGAGTTTATTTCCGAAACACAAGCACTACCGCGGGCCTACCGCTCAAATAACCGACCTGGCTGAAGTAGCAATTGCGAAAGATAAAATGTTACTTTTGAATCAATCCGAATTGATCCTGGTTGAGTTCAAGTAATTTCAAGCTGGAATACCCGAGAAAAGGTCGAGTCGCATTGCAATTTATGCACTGTTTACCAGCTCCTCTGGCTTTATTCGTTCAACGAGGCGGATTCAAAGCTTAGCCGAAACAAGTTTTGAAATTAGGCATCCCATAATCTTAGCTTTTCTTCACTTCTTGGTGAAATTGTTTCTGAGGCACCTGCACATTACCGAAAGTCATCGACACTTGGATTATTTGCGGTCCATACATCATATGGGGCTTGTGGTGTTGAGTCTGCGAGCGACCCTCAGTGCAATTGAAAGATGTTGTTTTGTCTGCAGAAAACCCAAGGCAAACACGTTACATCCTGATGTCAGACTGACTTGTCGATCGGTTTGATTACTGTAACTGTGGGGTGGGGGGATGTTTTGGCTCATTCTACTTGACTCTTCTTCACAGCAGTGAAAACAGATAGGAGTTTCTGTTCGCTAACCGTGCCGTACACATAAAAAATTTTCAGCCTATGCGCACCACCTGCTCTAGCGTCATGGAGATTGAAAGATTTATCGCCCGCCGTAAGTGTTGCGTGATCAGACAACGGTACCAATTTCGTTGCTGTGACGTACAAAGTTGAAACAGACAGACTACCGCATTTTTAGTGCAAAATGGGATTAAAAAGAAAACAACCCACCTGGCGCGCCGCATCATGTTCGGTCTTCGGAAAGGTTAGTTCGCTGTTGCAAACGTGTTTTCTACGCAACCATTGGCACTTGCAAGTCAACGGGTGAGTTGTTGTCGACCACGTTTTGTTTGGTTGAGCAATCAATGATTGCCCATCCAAAAACGCCAGTTTGTCCCGATTCAAATGAATTGGAAGCCTTAATGCTTTAACCTTTTCTCTTGGGCGAGCACCCTGTTAGCGTTCCATCGCTAACACTTACTTCATGAAAGTTTGGACCACCGAAAGCGAAATGATACTGTTTGGCAGCGCTGGCTGAAGGAGTTTGTTCCCTCCTTGAACAAGCGCTCGAAGTGGCATACTGATTCGAACCGCGATTTACGAACTGGAGATCTCTGGGTTGTCGATCCTAGCAGCCCTCGTGGGTACTAACATTCAGGTCGAGTAACTGTTTTGCAGCTTTGGCAGAGATAACGTCTCTCGCTCCGCAACTGTTAAGACCCTATCGGGAATAATAGAAAGGCCCCTCGCTAAACTTGCTCCGGTTCTCACCTCTTCGCTGGGTGAGGATGTTGCCAAGGTCGTTTCCTTTTCAAAAATCAAATATGCGCCAAACTTGACGGAACGTAAATTTACGCTCAGTAACCGGGTTTGAACCCCCCAAAAACATATTGATTTATTTAGCTTTTGCAAATAGTTCATAAAACCGCTTTGGCCGTTGATTGACTGGTTTTCGTTCGTCAAAACCGTGTTTTGCCAAAAGTGTGAACGCACTCACAAGCAAAAAATTGATGCTTTTTGACAGGATTAGATTTATTTTTGTTGGTCTAAATGCTCAACGCTGAAAAAAAAGCGTTCTTTTATTTGAATTTTAAAATAGTGCCGATTAAAAACGTTGATTCCAATTCAATAAAATTATTTACCCGACAGCAGTTTTAAACAATCTGATGCAGAGCACAGATATAATATGAAGCCAGTTCGCTTATCGATTTTTGCTGTGGCATATCCGCAAAGAAGAGAAAATATACGTACAGAATTAAAAAGACACTTTATCCGCCAAAAACTTGCATTACAACTAAATTAGGTGCACACGGTTTTTCTTACTTTTGGCTTGTGAACTCGAACTTACAAGTAACTGCTAAATATATTGTTATTTTTGGCGAAACCTGATGAAACATAGTAGCTTCTTTTTCCCAATTTGTTCGCTAATTGAATAACAGGTACTTAAGTAACGAAAACTGAAAAAAAATTGATGTAATATTTCCTTTGGAGACCAATTGCAATAGATATCTCTACCTCAATTTAGCTCATCGTTATTAGCTCGGTTTGGCTGATTTACCAGAAGTTTTGTGTAATCCGGAACTGCAAAATTTAACCAATTTCAATACCCGCCTGCATACACACTTAACATACGACTTTGCTACCCGTTAGTTCGACTTAAAATTTGCATGTAACACTAGAGTTACCATTTGAGTATCTAAGTCAGTTGAACCAAGTATTGATAGTTCTCAAATAACTTTAAGCACAAAATATGTACGTCTTTCAAGCTGAAAAGATTGACAAGGTATTTCAAAAACAAAAACTCACGCACCTCTAACTTAGTGTGAGTTGAGGTATTGCAAGTTCTTCCTTCTTTTTTATTCTTACCTTGGGAGGTTCGGGCCGGAAGTAAACTTGTAATGGTATCAAAAATGCGAATCTAGAAATAGATACGACTAAACTGAATTAGAAGCTGTAAAGTTGTAGAACAGTTCAGAAAAGCAGCTATTTAGCAGCAAAGTAAAGAAAAAATTGACGTGGACCTCTGATGAAAAAAAGGCAAGCCAATAAACCAATGCAAAGCTTGATTACAATTTGAGAAATCTCAGAAATGCAAAATTTTGACCGAACAAGCATATTTATTATTCGCCAATATATATTGTATGCTTTCTTGAAAAAAAAGAGCCTTTTACTCATAATAAATGGTAACACACTTGCCATAACACATGGTAACATTTTCTAAAGCCGCTTAAGTAAAATTAAGTAAAAAAATAAGTGTGCATTTTTGAGCAGCTCGAAAAAACCAATGCATATAACGAGATTCACTTCAGTAAAAGCATTTTCTATTGATAGTTTCCGCGCCGGAGTTTCATGGGTAAAATCTATTATATTGGAAAAAAACATCTAAATTATTGTCATTATACTCCATTATTGTTGCATTTTTAGACTACGAAATTGATTATAATGTCATTCTAATCGATTATTTTTGTTAAAACTAAGCCCCAAAAAATCCATAGTCATGAATTATAACCCATTCAAAACCCTTTATAATTGATTAAAATGGATCATAATCCATATATAATTTCGCGAAACTCATTTCAAATTTTTAATTTTTCAACAATTTCTGATATACTCACGTCCTACTCGAATTCTCAGCCAACTCAAATGTTTAATTTTTTTTAAACCATTTCATCACACCTACTTCACATTTTCTCCGTACAAATTCACCCTTTCACCCAGTTCGTTCTTCCCCCTGTGTTAAGTTGATGGACTAAGATAAAATTAGTCAACATTTAATTCAACTTGTTAGGATAAGTAAATAAGTAACTTCAATATAACATGTCTTGACTATTAAACTGTGTCAACTTAAATCTTGCATAAGTTGACTAGAGAATGAATAATTAATCTGCATAGAGTTTAAACGTTGTTTGACAGGTCGATGACGACCTTGATATCAAAAAAAAGATTAACAAACTAAAATAAACATGACGTCATAAATAACACAACTAACACTGCATCACATTTCCCCCTCCAGAGAAAATTCAAATGGGACATATGAATTTAGAAGAAAAAATGACTTTTGTAATAACAGTTTAAAGCGAGAGAAACTGAAGTAGCTATTGATGACGGTAAAGTATTCAAAAAAAATTAAAGTTTTCGGACAAAATTGCTATTGCGAGATTAATGACTATTGAGTTTAAAGTGATGGAATTTTCGGGTATATCCTATGGCCTCTTTGGATTAACCCACTCTGATCAGTTCCACTTAAGCAGACTCCTCTTGACTGGCTTGGATGAAACTGACCCTCTTATGCAGAGCACTTTTGTGGTTTCGGGACCGAGGAATCATCGTTTGAAGAAATTGGGATCAAATCCGGGCAGGTCATCAGTGAGGATTTTGAAGGTGAAAGTGCCTGAGTTTTAATACTAATCGGCGCACCCGGGAGTAATTTTTCTGACGTAGAGGAAGAGGCCGTAACGTCCACAAAAGGAGTGGTGTCGCGGATAATTGGACGAATGCCTGGGGCGTCCGGAATAGTGTCTTCAACCGATTTGCAGGATGACCAATTTGCACGCAAAGGCGTTGATGAAGACAATAGGGTCGGAGGCCGTGAGCGAACGGAAATTGGAACCATTTTGGCGGTAGTACGCGTGCTCTGAGTGGGCGGTTATCCTCCGGCGAAGTCGAGGAAGACGAAGACACAATGGGGCGCTTCTGCACCTTTTTGACCGGCGTTGCCTGTTTTCCTGAAAAACTTACGGAAGTTGATTTAAGACGCACCGCAAGATGATTCCTCCTTATTACTTTATCTTTATCAGTTATATATATATAGACCCTATAACAATTTACCTTTGAAAGGTATGATTAATTCCCGACCAGACTTCCTATTTGGAAATTTGCGAAATATTTCCACCTTGCTCTGATCATTAATAACTAAATAATCCAAGTTACGTTTTGGCTGAGACGGACGACGTTGCTCTGCTGGCATTTGAGTCCGGAGCCGACGAGTATCGGACGATAGATTCGCCCTGAGAGTAGCCTCTAGCACCTGATTTCGTTCGGTGAGGGTGTTGAGAGCTCTGATGACCTCATCATGCGAAAGGGTCTTCTTTAAGGCTAGCCACTGATTTGCTGACTTATCAAGGTTCTCTAATGCTCTGTAATGAGGAGTTTCTGAGACCGATTCCCTAGGTCCCGCAAAAAATGGCGACACTGTTGAGCTAGATTGCCCCTTTTTCACAAGCTTGATTCTGGGTCGGCTGTCACATTGCTCCCGACGCTGTTCGGCAGTGAGAAGATATCGCTCCAACGGTTGATTATCTAAATTAACACGCGAGAAAAGACGCTCCGCCGCAAGAGACAATTCCGTATTTGATGGTCGACCAAAGTGTAATTCAGAAGGTGAAAACCCAGTAACCGAGTTTTTAGTCACCCGAATATCCTCAATAATTTTCCGAGGTGTGTCTTGTACATTAGAAAAATCCGGATTTAATCGAGAAGCTTACAACCGACGTTTGATGGTCTGAATGGAACGTTCCACCAAACCGCAACCACGATGATCACCGACGGGACAGAATTGCTGATAAATATTTTTCATTTTACAGAAAGCTTGGACCAACTTATTTTTAAAACCCGAATACTGGTCTGTTTTAATTGATTTGGGAATACTATGATGTTGAATATAAGATTTCAACATTTTAATTATCTTCTTCCCCGTAGATCGAGTAATCATAGCTGACGGATTCTTAGAGTACCGGTCGATCGTGACCAAGATGTATATATTATTAACTGCAGAATCTAGAGGAGGACCCGAATAATCGAGCTGGAGTTCCTCATTTGGACCGGACAAGAAAGGCAAGGGTTTGGACTAATTAAACGAGGCATTAGCTTTAGGATTTTTACCAAACGTAGTACACTGAGGACAGTCTTTACAGAGCTGGATAAGGTCTCGATGCATCCTGAGCCACCAAATATATTGTGCCGCGTCCACCATGGCAAATTGTCCCGCATGTGATCTGCGAGGTCATGCATGAATGCGTTTTTGAGGAAAACTTGGGATAGCAATCCGGTTTTCCACCACAACACAACCGTCTACTACTGCTGAACACTGCCAGAAAGATTTCAAATACGCGCCGGTTCGACAAAAGTTTTCGTAATCATTGTTAATCAGAACTGTTTCATCAAACGAAGGCTAGGTTCTTTGGCTGTATTTCTGACAACACATCCACGTCCAAATTTCCTACTAAGCCAGACAGGGACTTCCGATCTGGAGCGACAACAGGAGACTTGCGAATGTCTAAACTGAGGACTTGTTGTGAAGAACGACCCACTGGACCAAACTTCCGAAGCCTCCACGAGCGAAAAATTGCCAGAATCCGAACGTACTGGCCCTTCAAAGCCTCTGCAAGCTGGGTTGATGTTGGTCGTTTCGGGTGAACTGCGCGGGAGCGAAATCTCGGCCTTGCACTATCGGACGAGAACCACCGTTGATTGATTAGCACAAACTGATTCAATAGTTGTTCAAAGCTGTCGTCTCTGGTGGTTTTCATACTGACAGTCTGAAAAAAATAAAAGCGTGAAGAAAACCAAACTCCACTAAATCCAAATGATATTAGGAAACGAGGAAGTTGCGATGAGATAAATGAATGACAAAAACAATTTGACCACTGCAGGAAGTAACCAAAAGAAAATCCAGAATGGCCAGCAAATCAGAAAACATGCTGGGAAAGTGACCTTGAATGAATTAAACCAGCTCAAATCTGATTGGCTGAAACTTTGAACATAAACTGCGACGCCCTCTAGCGGAAAACTGACAAAACACTTGTTTCGTTTGATTTGGCTAGATGATTCGTTAACGCGAATGTCAAGAGATCAAAATCGCCCTCTAGCGGTGTTTTACTTTGAGACGAAAAGCAATTAGGACGGTTGACACTGAAATCGACGCCATCTAGCGGTTGAGCGCAATTAACCAACTTAGATTCACAATTCCAGTTAGATCGAGTTTCACTTCCGGAAAAAAAACTCCCGAGCGTGGAAATTATTACTGTCGAAATTGAAATAGGAAAATGTTGAGGCTGTTTATTGATCAAAATAATCGACGAGATATTAGATAAAGAATCCGGCGTGAGTGAGTCATGAATCCAACGGTCCAGGAAATTGCAAGCATCAAAGAATCGGCTAATACAATTAACCACATAATGTTCGTCAAAATTACTCGGCTAAAGTTGGAAAGCGAGATAGATAATCAACTATTCTCAATTTGCAACCAGAAATATGCAGAACGTCGAAATCAAAAGGCAATAACCGATCAGCCCAACGGGTTAAAGGTGATTGATGGGTCTTATTACCCCTGTTGGTCTTGAGTGCCGAAATTATGGCTTTGTGGTCTGTAAGAACTTCGAAATGATTGCCCAATAAATAGTTGCGGAAATGCTCACACGACCAGACAATGGCGAGAAGTTCCAATTCATTCGTAATACTTTTTTTTATTGGTCGTTAAGAAATCGAGATCCAAACATCAGATTCCACTTCTTGCTCTAACGCCGCTCCCAGACCACTATGACTAGCGTTTTAGTTGCATTTTACCCTTGCCTTCCGATTTTGGTCATAATGGAACATTTTTGTGATATTAGCTATCAGCTGAAGAATGTTGGAGAAGGCAGACTGTTGCACATCCCCTCATACGAACTTGTTCTTTTTACTCGCCTTCAATGATGGGCGGAGTTGGCCCGAATGGACCAGGAGGTTCAGCAAAAATCTCTGTAAGTGATTGAGTATGCCCATAAATAACCGAAGTTGTTTTACCGTCTTTGGTGGTTCAAGAGCTAACACGGCATCAATTTTAGATCGTTTCAGCCTGTATCCTTCTGAATCGATATCAAAGCCCAACCAACAGATGATTCAAGGCAAACTCACATTTCGAAAGTTTAAGGGCACATTCTTCCTCCTCTAGCCTGACGAACAGTTTATCCACAAGAATATTGTGATCCACCACTGAGCCTTTTGAAACTATAAGAATATCGTCCAAGAAACAGAAAACTCCCGACAATCCTTGAACAGTATTGTCCATTGCTTTCTGGAATTCTTTGGGCATATCGGTAAGTCCATAGAAGCCAGTCTTGAAACGATAGGTGCCTGTTTGCTCCCCACAAACAATGTTGAAATTGCATTGGCTACTAACGCCATCACTCAGTGCAAATTGACAAAATGCATATTTCAAATC